GGACAAGATATTAAAAGTTATATTACGGCCTGTAGGGCGGCCTGTGTAACATTGTCAGCAGTAATCTCATTTCTATTTCCGTTCACGCTCATGCTGTTGCAAAACGAAATAATATCGATATTCAACGGCACTGCGAGCCACAACGCATCGGCTTTTGCGAACCGCAGAATTTAAATATCTATTATACACTGCGGACCGCGAGCTGTTCGCCCTATCTGTCGCAGCGATCGGCATTTCCGCGTGGAACCGCCACCTTTTTCCCTCCCGTTCCAGCAGCGCAGCTAATCGAAATTTATTTTTGTCCCATCAGTATTATTTTCCCCGACACGGCGAGGTGATGTGTGTGTTTGTTTGCGGAAATATTATTATTTTCACCAGCGCGGTGCGGTGGTGTGCAAAAAAATGGTTTCCGCCCGCGCGGATATTGTGGATATATGAGCAACTTATTTTGCGAGCGATCTTCGGCGATGTGGAATAACGGGAGTGACGCATCGATGAACCGCGAAGAATGGAACGCTGAAATTGCTTGTAGAGCTTATTAACCTATTCAATCTCGAATTACCTGTCGTGTTAAAAAAATAAATCTTCTCGCTATTCACCGTAATACAATAATGTCGCATTCGATAATATTTAAATGGAGGCAAATATTAACTGAAATTTAAATTGTGAAATTCAAACTGAAATTATATTAATCGGTGTGCCTCTTCAGTTTGGCAGGCATTTAAAATTATTTGGCATTTACATGAATCGGAAAATTGTACCAATAAAAGGGAACCCATCGAAATCAAATTATATTATTTTATTTCTTATGGATTCTTATTTGCACTTCTTATAGATTTAGTAACTGTTGACTTTACACGGATGTGTATTTTATATTTCCGTATTAAACTTTGCGTCAATCATTACGTGAATATTATTGATCCTTTATTACGAAAAATAATTTGCGCGGAAGACGTGCGAAAAAACCATTGATGTGATAAGAATTATAGAAGTATACATTATATGTATAAAGAAAATTACAGGTACACTGACAAAAAAATGTTTTAAACTAAGTAAATAGATTTACTTAAAATTATTTTTTTATTGAAGTAAATATTTATTCTATTTAAATTAAAATATCACATTTCAAGTAAATCTATGTATTATATTAAGTAAATTAATTTAATTCGTTACATTTTCTACATTTAAATAAAGATTTCATGAGATACAGAATACTATTTATTAAATGAAAAAATTGTTTTTGTTAAATAAGAAATCCAATTTTTTTCGCTGTAAAAATTATATATTAGTAAACATTTTATAGAATTAAAATAAAATTTTTTTATGAGAAACAACATTTTTTAAAATTATCTATTCTTTGATATTTAATAAATACTAAAATTAAAGCAATGCATGTTTTAATTTGTTTATTATTTTTTAAATTTAAGTTAGTGAGCTATTAGGAGCCATTTTCTCGAGTAAAGTAATATTTTTTGGATTAAGATATTTTTGCAACAGTGTATATGAATAGGAATTTCTCAATAAATGTTGATATCGCCGTACGTTAAGGGGATGCTGGAGTGATTCGGTAGCTTTTGCATCTTTTGCTCCTAGAACTGTCAATTAATATAGAATTGTCAGTAATATACAAATTATGTGGCTTTTATGTATAGACCGACTAGTTTCCACTAATCGGATTAAATCAGAAAACAGCATAGTATCATTGAAATTAAGTTTAGAAATCTAACAAAAAATTTATTCCGTCGAATAAATTATAGGTAAAGGAAACTGGTCGGCCTGTACACAAAAGCCACATAATTTGTATATTACAAAAATGTTTCCATGAATTGACAGTTCCCGATGCAAAAGGTGCAAAAAGTGCAGAATCACTCCAGCATCCCCTTAAAGCGATCCATAATCGGCTTGTGATGACATACTGATATTGATGACCTACTTGGTTGGTACAACGGTACACTACAGATATAATTATCGGATAATTACAGTCTGGAATAGTGGAGGCTGTATTTCTGCATGTATCTCTCGATACGCATTTATTAACTATCAATTGAAATTAATATACAATGGCTGTGATAGATTACTATACCATAAATCACAAATGTTAATAATGTTGACCGATATTGTGCATACATGCACATTGTGCGTGAAGTATTAATAGCGTGAGCATAATTTTGTTTGAAAGCTATATGTTACATCTATCTCTTCAAACCTTGTAACTTATTCATACCAGTGACATGTAAGTGCGATATATCAATATGTATACATCAATGTCGATCAATACTGATATGATGTTTAATACAATATCTGGTAGCTTACATTGTTAACAATTCGTGTACTTATGGTTTAATTGTGTAATAAGCTTCCGTTGATTTTGATAAATCATATATCATAGTATCGTATTGCAACAATTTTTCATACAAATATTATTAAGTTCGGATGACTGATACGTCAAGATTGCATTTGGAACAACCTGAGATCTTTCTATACTTACAAAACGAAATTTTAAAGACTTACTTTAGAAATGTATTAATATTTCCGGTTAGAATCAAACTATGAAAGTTATGAAGAAAATCAAGCTTTATTTGTTTGAGAAACGATGAAAAATTAAAAGATAATTGGAATACTCTTTGTATCATTTTTATTTAAGAATAAGATGCAATAATTTATGAGAAATAATGTATTATTTGACATGCCTTATTAAGAGACTACAGTTTTCCGAAATATTCAACAAGCTTTGCGTCGACAATAATCTTTAACTATAACTTATAGAATATTTCACGAAAATGTGTATTGTCGCACATCTGTATTTGTCCATCTCACAAATTGATCTCGCTTATTTCGATTGCTCCCGAAATCAGTGCAATTACTATGTAGACCACCACGAGGCTTCTCTTCAAAAGGGAATGATTGTAAATATAAGGATTAATCAAAGTCATTAATTGGAACACCAGTTTACTACCGACACCGTGCAAATTATTTCATCACGCATAAATGCGAGCGATGAGTCGTGATCGACGCAAAATCGTGCTCGACATACTCGGTAATCGCGCGAGGATTAACGCGATACGCGGCTTCCGCGCGGCATGTAAAATGAATAATTAATATATTCAAATGAAACGTACTTAAACTATACAGCGCCACTCATCCGCCGCCACCCTCTCACCGTCCTAATACGTAATTCGCATCCACCACGTGAGCGAATATATACGTACATTCCCGCACTGGCATTACCATCGATCGTGTAAACAGCGGTTTTCGCGACCGAATCTCCGGCAAAGAGAACGGATAAAGGAAATAACCTTTTCTGTGAGTCAAATGTGCCGAGCCAGACTATGGTAATGCGAGCTTTTTTTCGCCTCTCGAAGCATTCGCTCGGAGTACACGATTTTTATCCGGTGGGAAGCAAATGATTGCGCCGCAAGATAGGCGAAGATGGAGTAAGCGATACACTGTGCAAGATGATGTTTCTTCTAAAAGCTACACCACGCAACTCATTTAAGTATTACCATACCTGCTTTTATGCATAGATTCTCTATCAAACTTTGAATTTAATTTTTCTTCCGTAACGGAAACGTCACGGCTCTCGTATCTCGTAAATTATTGAAATTAACTTTGCGAAGATGAACGTATAAATAGGATATTAAATCTCAATAGTACACGGAAAGAATTTTCCCTGAAAATTTATCCCAAAAGTGTAATCGTGGGACAACGTGACATTTTGAGGAACTTTCTGAGAGTTTGTTTGAAAATTTACCATACATTTCACTAGTAATTATGCTTACAATTAGTATACATTTTATGGTAGAATTTAAAAACACTCATAAAGTTTCTTCAAAATGCCGCGTTGTCCCACGATTACATGATTTTCAGGGTAAATATTAAGAGAATATTCTGTCCGCGTATAAATAGTCAACAAAATTTTCTTTTCATGTTATTCTCGCACACACTGTTATTATTGAAATTTTAATTTGAACCTTATTTATTAAAATAGTGTCAAAAATTAAGGAAGCTAAGAAGCGTTAAATCTTTCTATGATAAAACTGATTTTAAGTTTATTAGAATTCGTTACGAAACTGGATAGAGGTGGCGTGCTTTATTCAGGCGTGTATATTCAGTAACATCGTAACATTTGCGTGATTCTACGAAAATGTATAAGCAAATTGTGATGCTCAGATATATTCTATTCCCTTTGCAATTTTTCTAGTGTAATTTACAAACGAAAGCACGGTACAAAATTATATACTTGAAACATTCCAATAGGTCTTTCGGTTTGTATTATTCATTTATTCAAAAGACATTGGCCTAGTTTACATCGTGCACTTAATACGCGTATCAAGTAGTGTATTTGAGCTGATCAGCCAATGATTAAACTGATTTACTAGTTATTTACTATTTGATACGCGTACCAAGTGATCAATGTAAACTAGGCCATTAGCTTTAAATTGGTCAAAGAATCTGCTCGTAAAAGAAAATGTCAGCTCTATGTTACATACACTTAATTATGTTATAATAATTGCATTGTTTGTTTGAGCATAATTAAATTTTACTATTAAAATTATTTTGATTTGCTTGAATTATTTCAGAAAAAATAAAATGCTTTTATGCATTAAGTATGCAACTATCAAGTAATAACCAATTGACTAAACAATGTGACTTATCAACTTCAGTATTTTCTTGACCATATCCTGGCATTTTTAATAATACAGAAAATTTATTGCGAAAAATGTTACCTCGGCCAGAGTTTGAACCTGGACTTTCCGACACTCTTATAGGCGGGCGTCTCACCAATTCGACCACTAACGCATGTGGTAATATTTATCGCAATAACAGTATAAAGATGTTATCTTCGCGTCTATTTTTCGACTTTAAACTGTGCTCCGATTCGGGTTGTCGGCAGTACACAGAACTGTCGATACGCGATTTTTAAGTATCCCTGTCCACTCCCCCCCCCCCCATTTTCCAATTACGTGGATAAGAAACGCAAATCTATTTTTTTGTTACAGATTACACCAATAACTTCTGAATTCTCAATCCGGATGCATTCGTAGGGCATGAAACATCGTGATGGGCGTAGACAGGCTAGATGCAACGATGCAGTTTCGGTGCAATAAATTGTATATTCTTCACCGCGTTTACGCATCATCACATCGATCGATGACCAGCCGGTGCACGTAAAACTGCATCGCGTGATTCGAACTTGTTTCGATAATATTGAACAGTAATCATACGATTTCTCGCGTCGCAATGTTAGTGGCGCAAGACGCATGCTTTCGTGCGAGTACGTAATTTCGAGGAGCTTGAAAATTGAAAACTCGTAGTGACTTGACGTGATTCCGACGTGAGCTGAAACAACAGGATGAAAATTAAGACGAGCACACTCGAGAATGGATCTCGAGAAGATGTCGGATAGAAGATTCTTCATCGAGACAAAAATTTATTAAAGTGGGCCACTAGTGTACAGATTATTAATTTACTTTCGTTGAAATAAGTCGAGAAAAACTCTTCGCGAAGGCTTCAACGTCCTTTGCTCATCGCCGTCTGCTGGTGAGGAATATCAGCGTGTCGATAAGACAAGACCGGGCGCTGTGATGGCGAAGCCAATGGCAGGTTGCACGGTATACGCTTCTCCAGAACTTTATCTACGAGAAGAAAATGCTCTTCTTTCGAAGCAAATTTTTATTTCCGCGAAAGCTGTGGCGTCATACTTGGTGAGAGGAGTTTCTTTACGATATTCTAAACGCGGAATACACATACAACTGCCCGTTATTAGAAATGTAAAAATTAATGTTTTATTATAAATTCGAGTGTTCAAAGTTGAAATATAATGTTGAAATATGAATTTAACACAAATTGTGTAAACTTTTTTAAGTAACATAAACTTTTTAAATTACTACATATTATATACTCAATACATTAAAATTTATTATGCTTTTCGTTTGTAAACTTGCAATAGCATTACTTACGACAATTAATTTGAAGTACTTTATACATTTGGTATAGATTGTAAAATACCTCTTTTGATAAAACATTCACCAGAGTTTTTCACTGTCATCGCACTAGGTTTCTAAGCGTTATTTCAGAAAAGAGAAGGCTCGGCAAGTAGGGCAGTGCTGAGTATCAGCAAATATCGCGACAGGAAACTCGGCACGTTTTGCCGTTGCAGAGAGAGATACTCTTCGGAGGAACGAATTTTATACAATAAAATATGACATAGAAAATAATTAACGGCAAAGGATAAACCACTATTTTCCACTAGATCAAATTCGCTTTAAACGAACATGTTACATGCTTTGTTTGCTCTTTAATTTTTCAAAAGCAAGGGAGGAAATTCAAACATATTATAATAGACATTGAAATTTATACAAAACACTGAACACAGTAAATATTGAAATTTTTATACCTATTAAATCTGTTACACTTTATGCGTTTATGAAATTCTGGATGTTATTAGAATATCTTTTTCTAATACTAATTGCAATATTATATTTTTATTAATTGTAACATGAATAATTGCCTCAAAACAACACACACATTTATGTTTAAGAATGTATTCGTTATAAAATTTTTATTGTGTTAAATAAGTTTAATTGAAGCATTTCAATTTATCGCATTTTTTAATAAAAAGCTAAAAAGTCATACTTTTGTCTTAATGGAGGAAATTTAAAAGAGCAAGAAAAGCGTGTGCAAACCGTTTTATATTCCTGATAATAAATCTCCAACATTAATATTCACTTTTTTATGTTAGTGCCGAAGTTTTTCTAAAACTTCTTATTTTTAAACTTTAAATTTCAAAATAAAATTCTTTCTTTAAAACAGCTACATAACAAAGGCCAATTATCTAATTATCAAATATTCTTTTGATTTTTTGGCCAATATGACTCGCGTGGTGGCTTTTCGAGAAAGAATTTTTTTGCGTTTCAAATATCGGACGTAGATAGAGACACGATTATCGATTTATGCAGATTTAGTTATTATATGTCAATCAATAATTGAGGATACAATGTGTCCGAAGATGCGAAATAACGAAAGATATTTCTCTCTGCTATTCCCTTTATGCCTTTCTTTTCTCTTTACTCCCCCATCTCATTCTCTCCCTCTCTGTTATTCCATCTTGCAATTTCATTTTATGAAACTCCCGGCTCAGAAGTGCTTTTATACTCAAAACACCACCCTGAATTATTTGTGCACCATTCGGCACACCACATCGCGCCGGGGCGAAGCGAAAGAGAATGGAAAAGAGCATGAAACAGGAGCCGAACGAGTTACATGCGAAGAAACGCAAGCGAAACTAACGAACTGCATGACCCGACCGGATAAACTTAGTAGAACAACCTTGTTATAACTTTCAGGTAATAGGTGGAATCCGAAGAACGACCCCGAAGAGATATTTGGACTGATACAATTGTACAGGGTGTCCTGAAGGTACAGAATATGAGATTCAATCTCCACAATTGACGTAGGTAGAACGATTTGTAAACAATTATGATAAAAAAGTGAACGGATTGATTAAAAGTGTTAAAGTGTTGGTTTGTAATTTTAACATATTTGATTTAGTATCAAGATATTAGACAATTATATTAATTTTGTCGTTTTCAAGAAAATAGGCTAAATACAGCGTATTCTTTATGTATTAATAAATTTATATCACTTTACGTTATATCATGAATCAAGCGCGAAATTCGTCTACTAGTTGACGACACACGTGATAGCCACATGATTTTTATCCTATGCGCAATGATTAGTCTCTGTTGGTGAAATCTCACTGTTATGGTAATACATTATATAAATTAAAAAGCGCTATGCAATCGATATTTATAACAAACTAATGAAAATACAGCTTCTGTATCTAACGTTAGATCTAAATTTAAATTTGATAAAATGAAAAAATGTGAAAGTTTACCAGGTTCCTTTAGCTGTCATTTCTTAACAACTAAAGATCTTAAATTCAAGATCTGAAATTTCTGGCCTGAAACTTCTTGGCAATTAAATTGTAATAAATAACGCGAAAAGACATAAACAGAGAAAGAAATATTTTGCTGGTCTTCTGCAAGCGTGCATATATCGCGTAACAAGTACATATTCGTATAGTACTTGCAGTATTCTGAAAAGAAAAGTATTCTCGCATGCAGCGCGTTCAGGACACCATGTACGGAATATGGAAGAGGATGGGTCCAATTTGGACATAGCCGAGGAAGATGCTTCTTCTTGTCGAGGAAGTATATACTGAGAAAGTCCTCTTTTCTTTTCTTCCTGTTAGTTACCTTACGGCGATGCCGTATTTCTCTACTATTCAAAGCATACTATCCAATATTCGCGGTACGTATTGACGTAAGTGCCAACAAGGATTCGCTGCTTGTTTGCTAAGAGCAACCGAACGCTCGACCTAGTTAACGGAAAGTCATGCAATTTTCCACACAAATAGATTGGCGTGTAGCCTCTTGTCTATTCGCACAATATTTAATTGCATTCAGAATCTATTCTTCTTTCAAAAGCACGTTTAGCAAATACGGCAGCGTGTTCGAGGATGAAGAGGATGTAAGTAAATAATCGACTCGTTTTATGTAACGATAATGCTGCCAGGCGATGCAAATTAATCTATAATAATTTTTTCTGCAATTTCAAAATTGGTATCCAAATTATAATTTGACTAGCACGATCTATGATTTTAAATTCTTAACAAAGTCAATGGAAACTTTGAACTAATTAATTCTTGGACTAATCTCTAAAAACATTGCCGAACTTTTCTAAAGCAATTATAAAATCGGTAAATATATCGATGAAGGGAGCCAGCCCCGATGACCTTGACCTTGACATATGTTGTCAAGGT